TTGCTGCTGCCCTCTCTTCCTCCCATCTACTTCAATGCCACTACCCCACCAGCCCTGATCCTCTATTCTTCTCTCTCCACAGCCTCGACCCTCATGACCCCAGATCTTTATCATTAATTTGTCATGATACAGTCCTATGTTTTACCTGCTCTGATGCCAAAGAGACCTGTCTTGCATCCTAACTTCACAATGTACTAGACTGGTGGCCCGGAGGAAGTCACACCTTCTCTGGGCTGCAGTGTCTCTCTCCTTCTCACCCTCCTTTCTTCCCTTCCTTGTTTGTTCAACAAAGATACCTGCAAGTGCTGTGCCTTATAAGGGACAGAACACTGCCACACGTAAAATAAAGATTGGTGTCTGCTCACTGCTGTAAAATAGAGCAAGGATTGTCCGTCTTGCAAGAGATTTTTTGAAAAGCGGCAGAGGTGGTGACTGTTACATGCAATGACCTGCATATAGCCAGGTGATCAGAGAGTGTCCTCTCTTACTGTCTTCTAAAGCACGCAGCCGTGGCCTCTCTTTGGAAGAGAATTATTTTTAACTCTGTCAGAACCTTTCAATTGTAGTTTTGGCTCATGCTGAAACTCATTCTTTCTAATTTTGAACAGCTCTTTTCCTTTCTAAGCCAGCCTCTTTTCCCAGTTTCCTTTTTTTTGTATCAAAAGTGTAGTCGATTCTGTTTTCATCTGTGTTTGAAAGCTGGAATTAGGGGGTAGGCTGTCTCAAGTGTTGTGGAACGTCACATCCATTTTCACTCTCCTTTCTTTTATGGTTTGTGTCTATTACATATTGCTAAGAAACCTATTCCTTACAGATTTCTTTAATTCTTCCCTTGTCTCTTTTGTTGAATAGCTGGTCTTCATCCCTATTTTCATTTAAAATTTGTCATTATCTAAAGGATAATTCTGATTTCTCTGTTGTTGTTGTTGTTGTTAAGTGTGGTCAAGTCAGTTGCAACTCACAGCAACCTTGTGTAGGGGTTTCCAAGGAGCAGCTGGTGGGTTTGAATTGTCAACCTTGTGGTTAGCAGGCCAGTGCTTATCCTACAGCACCACACCAGGACTCCTAAGCCCCTCTAAATGTGTCAGTCATGGCAGAAGGAAACAATGACCTCCTTCAGTTAGTTGTTTAATTATATCTAGTTATGTGAAACACAGGGCCCTTCAAAGGGTAGAATAGCTGGAGATTGAGAAAACTTTGTCCTTGACAACTGAACTGCTTCATTTATTGGGACTCTGCTTATATTTTTGCTTACAGTTAATTTCTGAGGTACATAATATTTCAGTTTACTTATAGATGGAACTTCCAGAAAATGTACACTTTTGACATAGTGGGTAAGCCATTAACATGAATACATAATTTTAAATGAGCTTGTGGTATTTGACTTTTTGAATGTGGGTTTTCATTTATTTGGAGTATTAGAAAATATCATACTGCCATGCACCTTTTTTTCCAACCTGCCATTTTTTAAAAGAAAATAAAAATAAACATGTTCTATTAAACAGAGTTATAGTGTAGAGTAGGGGTGGGTGAAGAACTATTATGTAAAACTTTAAGGTTTTGCAAATCAATTTGGTTATTGTTGATTTTTAGGCATTGTTAATATATTTAGATGATGGCTGTCTCTTGAGGTCTGAGTATGCCAGGAATTGCACTAGATGCTGCAGACTAAATGGTGACCATGTGCTACACTTGTCGTTAGCTGCCTTCGAATTGGCCCCCACCTCATGGTGATCCCATGGAAATGGAACTGAAGTGCTAAGTGGTCCTGTACCATCCTCATAATCAGTTGTGAATAAGCCATTTGTGAATCTTAGTATTTTCATTGGCTGATTTTTGTTACATCACAGGCCTGCCTTCCTAGGTTATCTTAGTCCAGAAACTCCACTGAAACCTGTTGTGTATCATAGCAATATGCAAGCTTCCATTGACAGACAGGTACATGAGGTACATTGGCCAGAAATCCAACCCAGGTTTCCACATGGAAGATGAGAATTCTCCCACTTAACTGCCAGCCAGAGGCTGGCCTATAATGTTGTTGTTGTTGTTAAGTGTTGTCAAGTCAGTTCCTACCCATAGCAATGCTGTATAGGGTTTCCAAGGAGTGGCTGGTAAGCTTGAATCGCCGACCCTGAGATTTAAACCAACCCTGCCATCCACCTCCAAATACCTGCTTCACACAGGTATCAGCTAGATAGATGTTGGCTTCTTTTGGGTTCCTTTTACTGTAGCATCTGTCACATATTATTATTGCCTGTTGATTTTTGTTTTCCTTCAGTAAGTACGCTTGCATTAACCTGCAGTGCCACACCAGGCCTATTATAGGGACCAATAGACTGCAGTCTGTCCTACAGCCTGTTTTTGTGTGACTTACAGGCTAAGATCGTTTGTACATTGGTGAAGGGTTGTAAAAGCAAGACAAAACAAACAGAAACAAAAGAAAATACATGACCTGTATAGTTGAAAATATTGACTGTCGGCTTCTTTACAGAAAGTTTGCCTACTCTTGACCCATAGAAGCTTATATTGTAGTAGGAAAGATAAGTAACAAGCAAGGGAACAAATAAACGAGAATTCATTTCTCGATTTCTGTTACTGATAGTTAGAAAGGAAATAATGAAAGTGACTTTCATGAGGCTGTGGCAAGTGGGAGGGATGAGGGCAGGAGGTTTTGAAGAAATGACTTTATGATTAGACCAGAAAAAGGAGAATGAGCAGCAGCCTTGAGAAGATCTGGGGCAGCTAACCCACTCTCATCCTCTGAGGGTACCTTCTCCCCAGCACCTCCAAATACCTGCTTCACACAGGTATCAGCTAGATAGATGTTGGCTTCTTTTGGGTTACTTTTACTGTAGCGTCTGTCACATATTATTATTGCCTGTTGAGTTTTGTTTTCCTTCAGTAAGTACGCTTGCATTATCCTGAGAGCAAAGACTTTTGTCTTTGCTGGTATATCTAGCATATAGCTTATAATGCAAACTAGTTTGACTAGTTAGATCAATTTCTAAGTTCAATATTCTCTTCCATTAACCTGGAGTGATGCTGTGGTTTAATGCACTGGACTGCAAGCCTGGTTTGAACCACAAGGTCAGTGGTTCAAACTCACCAGCCACTCCTTGGAAACCCTATACAGGGTTGCAGTGAGTCGGAACCAACTCAGCAGAGTACTTAACAGCAACAATGACAATCAGGTTGTCACAAGTTCTGGTGTGGTGCTATAGGACAAGCCCTGGACTGAAAAGTTGGTTTGAACCACATGATCGGTGGTTCTAACTCACTAGCTGCTCCACGGAAACCCATTTACAGGTTTGCTGTGGGTTAGAACCGACTCAATAGCACTAAAAGCATCAGCAATCAGGTTGTCAGAGTCAAAAGATTCCTTGAAAAACAAAATTTTAAATACAATTCTATTATTTGTCTTTTTTCTTTATATTTTTTTGGTATACATTCTTACCACCATATCCTTTCTGCTTTCATCATTTTTTCGTCTTTCATTTGTAAAATGAAATTATGGAACCTACTCCAATGCTTATTTCCCCACAGTGGCTCTGCCCAACAAGCACTGGGCTGTGAACCACAAGATCACACAGGCAAGATGACGCTTTCTGCTCCCACAAAGATGTAAAGCCTCGGAAACCCTATGCCAGGTCACTGTGAGTCAGAACGGCACTTGACAACAACTAAAATATACCATCATCTTCCAGTTGATCTGGATCCGAACTAGGAGTTATGCTGGATTCTTCTTCCCTTACTCATCTGCCCATCAATACCTCCAAAATGTAACTGAAACCAGTCCTATGTCTGTTACCAACCCTCGCCCACATCAGTCTTGCTCATCACTTAGATGTCAGCTGACTGGTGTGTCAGCTTCTACTCTTGGCTTTCTTATATCCATTTTTTCACACACAGGCCAAACAGATCTCTTCAAACCCCAAATCAGCCTCCCACCGAATCTCTCAAGTTGGCTGCTTATCTACTGTAGAGTAAAAATTGAATTCTGTGTTTAGGCCTCAAAGCCCTTTATGAAATGACCACTGAGTGCCTCTTTTGACCTCTTCTCTTATTTATTCTCAGCCTCCTGCTGTACTGGTCTCTCTCCACTCCCTCTTAGGACCTTTTATTCCCTGTTGTCTGGGCTCCTTCTTGTTATATAGGTCTCATATACTCAGAATAGTCAGCACTGAGTCTCACCTCTGAGTCATTATCTACTCGTTCTTTATCATAGCATTCTGTTCTTTTACTCTTAATAGCCATTTGTACCTCTGATTTTTCTTGTTTATTTACTTATTTGTTGGTTTATTTGTCTGTTTTCTCTGCTAAAATAAAAGTTCCAAGAGAATGAAAGGCTTCAATACCTAGAAAGTACCTGCCATAAAATAGCCACTAAAGAAATATTTTACTGACTAAATGTATAAATGAATAGTAACTTTCAGAATCTGTTTTTATATTTATTTTTTTGCACTTGTCCCTCCTTTTATGCTGGAAGCTTCTTGTAAGCAGGCACTGTACATACTTGTCTCTTATTCTTTGAAGTTCCTAACACAGAATGTAGAATGTGGTAGGTGCACGATAAATATTTTTCTAATTGAATTATTAAGCAGACTCTGTTTTAATCTAGTCAACCTTATGGATACTTAAAATGGTGTAGTGGCAAGATGGCAAAATTACCTACAATGAAACGAATACACCCAACGCATTCCTGGGCCTCCTCTTCATTATCATGTTTATTGTATGAAATGTTCATGGTAACAGGCAGCTGACCTAATGATGTTGTTGTTAAGTGTCAAGTCAGTTCTGATCCTTAGAAACCCTGTGTAGGGCATACAAGGAACAACTGGTGAGCTTGAACCATCGATCTTGAGGTTCAAACTGACTTTGCAGTCCAGTGCATTAACCTAATTGCCCTACGTAAAGGCCTTGGGGAAAGAAATTGACAACTTGTTGTTTTCTAATAGTTTTATTAACGCTCTTTTTTTTTTTTTTCTCTTTTTGCCGTGCAGAATATGAGTTGGAAGTAAAGAGGGTGCAAGACATTCTTTCAGGAATAGAGAAGCCCCAGGTATGTCTCTTTGGATTTCTGCGCACAAATGACACTTTCAGTAATTACTAGTGTTTGCTTCTTTTCCCATCATGAAGTAGGTAAGCAAAAGGGCCCCATTGCAAAATGTTCGTAGAATGTTAACTAGTATTAAATTATTAATAGTGCATGAAAATTCGGACTGGCAGCCCTCTGCTTAGTCATAATCTACTGAAATGTCTTTATTTAGATATCCTGGCTGTAATAATAATTAGACATAATCCCCCCACCCCCTAACCTCAGGTCTACAAAACAGTTTTCGTTTGGTATTTCCTTTTACTTGTGTAACTGTAGTAAAAATAATTTTGGAAGCCTCAATAATGGCAAGCATTTTCCAAGTAAATTAAAAAAGAAAAACTTATATTTAACTTATATTTTAGCTGAGGAAAATAAGTCCAGGATATTGGGTGTAATACTAAGAAACAATTGTTGGGAATAGTGATGCTGTGAGGACTTAAGTTTGATTTTTTTTCAGGGGCTTTGAATCATCAAGTGAAAAATTGAAAATGTTAATTCAGTCTTTCATCTGTGATTGGAGAGCCAAAGTATTTTGGTGTATTTTCTAGCTGAATTGGGAAGCCTTGATTCTTCTTGTGTTTCAAATGATGAAACTTTGTCACAGAAGAGTCCAGACAGGCCTCAGGGCACATAGTTGAGCTTGACTAAAACCTAAAAGCATGGCTCAGGACTGGACAGTGTTTTGTTTTGGTGTCCATAATGTCCCCAGGAGTTGAACCAGCTTGGTGGCATCTGACAACAGCAACAAAACGTGGGGTATGTTGGCAAACAGGCAGAAGAGGGAACTTTTATGGGATGACATGGATATTGAGTTGAAGAGTCTGTCCTGAATTTAGTAAAGAGCAAATAAGGTGCAGTTAACTTTTCTTGAACAAGTAGTTAACATACTCAGAGCTGCATTTTTTTTTTTTCAGGATGATCAGACAGTTGATGGATGAATTAAAGTGAGAAGAAAATGAAGCTAGGAGAATTGTTAGGAATATATTATTGTAACTCTGGTGAGAGACTATGGTTACCAGAATTCAGGTGTGATAGGAGGGAATAGATAGTAGAGTCATTCTAGAGATGAATGAATAAGGTGCTTTGTTGTTTTTAAGTGTCGTTGTGTGAGTCTGTTCCAACTCAGTTAATCAATCCTATATAGGTTTTCCGAGGCTGTAAATCTTTGCAGAGTCAGAAAACCTCATCATTCTCCCATAGAGTGGGTGCTGAGCTTGAACTGCCAACCTTGTAGTTCTCAGTCAAGTGCTTATCCTACAGAGCTAACACACTCCCTCCCAGATAAGGCACTGTATAGGGACTGTGGCTTTGACGTATAGATGCTTCATTTTGGACCTGCATTCCTCTAAGGCTTCTTGAGCCCTGCTGCATTCTGCACCCATCTAGTGAGATTCTCCACTGAGCACTTGTGTAGTACCACTGGCTTTACCCCCAGTCCTACAGAGCACTGCCTCTACCTCTGCTATTGAGTATATTGTACTGTATTTTCCTCCTTTTGTGCCTTTCCCAGTCATCTGTGAACTCCTCTAGAATAGATTCATACCTCTGTCCCTTTTGTATATTCAGTGCCTTTCTTGGACATTTGGGGCTTGTTTGACTAGCTGGCTTCCAGATAGATAAATACAGTGGGTTGTTGCTGTTGTTGTTTTGAAGTGCCATCGAGTCGGTTCTGACCCATAGCAACCCTATGTATGGTTTCCGAGGAGCTGCTGGTGAGCTTGAACCGCCTATTTGTGGTTCCAACCAATTTAGCAGTCCAGTGCATTAACCCACAGTGCCACACCAAGACTCTAAATACAGAGCGTAGGCAGTCACAAATGTTTAGTGAATCAGTGCTGTGATGAGAGAGAGAACAACATTTTGATTGAGAGATCATGTGCATAGGAATGACAGAATTGTAGGCTAGAATGATAGCCTTTGAAGGATGGATGGTCTAGACGTATGGGGAGAGACTCAGTCTTTAGTGTAAAATCATAGGAAAAGCAAATGCACTTGGGAATTCTGTGGCTCCATGCAATAAGCATTGGATTACAGACCACAAGTTCTGCAGTTCGAGGCCTCCCGTGGAAGAAAGATGAGGCTCTATGCTCTCACGAAGATTAAAAACCTCAGGAACTTTATATAGGGGTCACTATGATTTGGAACTAACTCACTGGCACTTAACAATAAGGCAACTGAGGAAAACAGGAGTTATAGAGTGAGCAGATGAGAAGAACAACATGTCAGTTCACTGATTTGGATAGAGTCACAGAACTTCATTACTTTGTCTTTCGCTCATGTGCTTACACACAGGGTTTTCTTTGGTTATTTCTAGGCACTGCTCTCCCACACAAGTGATAGCATCTGTGTTTCCGAGGCTGACCTGGTTCTAGCAAGATAAAAGCAGTACTTCAGTGTATTGGTCTTCTCCATCATCCAGCATTTATTAACCACTTGCTATTTGCAGGGAATTGTTTTCAGAATAGGGCAGGCAGACTTCTGTGTAATTAGTGATACTGTAAACTTTAAAAGGCTAAGATTTTCATCTAAGAACTTTTGTCTATGTCTGTTGGGATCCACAGAAGCAAATGGAGTTTTATCATCTCAGGCCAGGCAGCTCTGACCCCATCATGAAGATGTGGATTCTTAGAGGCCTTTGACTCATGTTGTTGACTCCATTTATTGAACAGTTTGGTACTCATCCAAGAGCCTTTAGAGAATTTGGCTTCCATATAGCCAGCACAAGGAGCCCTAACCACAAGGTTGGCAGTTCAAGCCCCCACCAAGTGCTTCTCTGGAGAAAGATCTTGGAAACCTTAAAGAACAGCTCTACTTTGTGCTGTAGGGTCACTGTGCGTTGGAATTGACTTGGTAGCAGTGGTTTTATAGTCAACAGAAAATAGCAGTGGGCTGCTAACCCACAAAGTCAGCGATTCAAACCCCCCAGGTATGCCCTAGGAAAATGGTGAGGCACTGTGCTTCCATAAAGATTTACAGCCTTAGAAACCCAAGGGAGCAGTTCTGTTCTGTTCTGTTCTGTTCTGTTCTGTTCTGTTCTGTTCTGTAGTGTTGAAATGAGCTGGAATCAGCACCACAGCAGTAGGGTTTTATTGTTGTTTATAGCCAGCAGAGAGAAAAGGTGCAGAGCAAGTTGATACTAAGGTCTGTTCTACCACATAGTTACGTTTCATATTATGAATTAATTGGTCATGTGATTTTTACGCATGTGATTCACGTAAGTCTCCTAGTTGTGTAGACTTTGTTGAGTCTGACTTTGGAGTACTAATTAACTAGACTGTGAGTCTGCTGGGCAGGTTCACTCAGGTAAATACCATGATATCGACAATCTGTTTGGGAGCCAGGCAGCTTACCTAGACACTGTCCTTTCTCATTGTCCTTCTTCAAACTTATAAGATGGCTTTTGGATAAGAAATAAGTCAAAGTAAAACATTTCCATATCGTGGGGTTTAGATATAGTTATAGATAGAGTGAGTTTAGCCAAGAATTTTCCTTGTACCTTGAAAGCTGTCAAATTCTGATGTGTAACAGCATGATGGCTCTAAAGGATAAGTGCTGGACTTTGAACCCCAAGGTTGGCGGTTCGAGCCCACCAGCTGCTCCATAGGAGAAAGATGAGGCTTTCTGCTCCCACAAAGATTTACAGCTTTGGAAACCCTATCTATAACCACTATGCGTCACAGCCGACTTGATGGCGCGTAACAAAAACAACCATTACATTATCTCGGATTGCAAAAGGCAGACTGAAAACTGTTCAAGAGTGAGTAGAAATAACAGAGTTTCAAGTAGTTACAAACTCCCAAGTAAGACCTACAGATCAGCATTTATAGCTAATGTTCTTAACATTGAGATTTGGACTTGCTAGAATTTTACTCCGTTACTTTTTAAGGAGTTGGATAAAATCCACTTGGTACGAAGCCGGTGCCTGTGGACACAGTTGCTTCACAGTATTCACATGGCTGTAGGGTGCTGGATGGCACGAGTCATTGGCTGAAGGTGTACCGGATGAGTGAAGGTTCTTACAGTGCCATGTTCATTCTTGCTTACTTTTACACATAATTGAAACAGCTTCTCTTCCAGTTTACATGTATTTATTTCCTGCTGCTGCTGTAACAAATTATCATCAGGTGAGAGACATAAAATGGCAACATTTATTATCTTAAAGTTCTAGAGACTAGAAATACAGAGTCTCAACAGGCTAAAATCGGTGTGTCAGCAGGATTGCTTTCTTCCTGGAGGCTTTGAAAGTCAGCCTGTGATTGATGCAGCTTCTAGAGGCTGCTCACATGCCTTGACTAGTGGCCCCTTTTCTCCATGTTCAAAGCCAGCAGAATCTCTCTGTGACTCTAACTTCCAACGTCACATCGCCTTCTCTGACTCTCCTGCTTTCTTCCCCACTTTCACTTATAAAGGACTCTTATGATCACGTTGGACCCAGCCAGGCAATCCAGGATAGCCTCCTATCTCAAGATCCTTAATTTAATCACATCTGCAACGTCTCCTTTAATGTGTCAGGTAACATAGTCACAGGTTCCGGGGCCATTATTTTCTCCCTCTTGTTCCTTTAATAAGGAGATTTAATGGCACTGTAGCCCAGGCATTGGTCCGCTAACTGTGAGGTTGACAGTTAAAACCCATCAGCCACTCCACTGGAGAAAGATGAGACTATCTGTTCCTGTATAGAATTGTTGTTGTTGTGTGCTGTGGTGTCAGTTCTGACTCATAGTGACCCTGTACAGGGTTTCCGAGGCTGTAAATCTTTACCGGCGCAGAAAGCCTCCTCATTCCCCCGCGGAACAGCTGGTAGTTTTGAACTGCTGATTTTGAGATTACCAGCCCAATTCGTAACTACTACGCCGGCAGAGATGGGAAACCCTATAACAGGGCCACTGTGAGTTGATTTAGTTTGATTGCTCCTTAATGGCCCTTCCTTCTCAATCTGCTCATCCTGTTCAACCTAGTCTAGT